GCAAAGAGATTTGAAACTCTGTGATTTATGCATAGATAACTTTTACAATGAGAATTGATTAGTTATGCATCAGTGATTCATTTTTAAAACGGTTCTTAATCATTCCTGATTTCCTGTGTTATACATTCTTGGATTCAACCTGCGAACTGTCCTGACTTAGCGCTTTTAGTCTTCTGAAACTTAGATCATCTTACAAAATCATTTGCTACTTTTATTCATTCATTCGCATTACATACATCATATCTTGCTTAGCTAAATCCGAACCTACATTCGATAGTGTAGTCTGCATTACTCTCTTGGGATTTCGATACCCCTTGTATTACAACTGCTTTTGCTGTGCACTTGCAGTAGTTTTATTTGGATAAAACCTGAGCCCTATCACCCAGACGTTAGGCGGGAGCCCACCAGGGACATAGACCCCGAATAAAGATTTTAACTGGGATGCCGAGCCTATTACGCAAGAATTGACCAGACCAAAGCAAAATGAAGAGGCACAATGGAGCTCGAGTAAAAAAATCAACATATCCGACATATGTAGCGGTTGCAGGAGGGAGCACAGTGAGCTTTCACAAATACAAACACGGGATAGCAGGAAGTTGAAGGTCCTGGACCTCTCATCCATCACAGACAAGGGCTTCAGGGTCGACTGGTCGTAGGTCCACGGGGCCCCGACGACTGCACCGGGACTATAGAAACTTATCTTGGACATGCCAAGACAAAGGAACACCGGCGCGTTGGTCAACCATCCAGAAAAGTACGCTCCCTCTAATTTTGGCTCCCCGGCCGATCTCCGGAGATAAAGATGGGATGGTCCTCCCAAGCATGCAGGGTGTAGCGAAGATAGTCAGCGAAAATACGATGCAGTCGATAAGACAACTGCACAGGAATCTCCGAAAGATCAGAAAGGACCTGATACGCATTGAGCAGTTCCCATGTCGACATATGCAGCTATCTGGGACAGATGCCACAGCAGCGACATAAGTCAATAAGCACACGAGAGAGAATAACTCCTAAAACCATAGAGGATATAATCGTCGTGCACAGCAATGCAGTGGGGCGGGGGACGATCCGCCCGATCTCCCCCAGTTGGAAAAAATGATTTAGGGGGACGCAAGGAAGGTCTACGGCGGAGAGAACCCTCTTCAGAACAGCCGGCATGCATATCAAAGGAGGCAAATCCTGCTTCTCGACCGCCTCAGGAGTGCGAGCGTTATTCTCAGCGCTGCCACCATACCACAGAAAGGGGACACACCAGGTGTCTGAAGACGAGTTTGTTGATGAGGACGACATTACTTTGAATTGCCTGAAGAAAGCAGATCCAGATAAAAGCGAGATAAGGCAAAAATCAAAACGATATTCAAATCGAGAGTAAGTGGAAGATGCCAACTGTTCCTAATGGTTTATAAGGAGACGAGAAACCGAAATGACGCGCAAAGATCATCACGCCTGTTTTGAAATAACAAAGGAAATCGATGGTTATTTTAGTACATGACCAACTCTCAAACCGTGCACTCAAAGAGACGGGTCATTATGACAAAAGAGGTGGACGGTCCATCATGATGCCGGTAGCAAGTACCAGTTCGCGACGAGCGAGAAGAACAGTGTGGTGCGACTTTCCACGAGGCGAATGGACAAACCTTTACCACATGGCTTGCACCCACTTACAAAAGAATGCCATCCCGACCGGAAAGACCACAACTCCCGACCCGGAGATATAGCACGAGGTCAGCCAAAACCCCCGGAGCGCAGATGACTAACCACCATCGGCAAAGCCCGACCGAAGCGCAACAGTATGAGTTTAGGAGCCTTACAGGAAACAAGTATTTCTTTAGGGCGGCCTTCGCCTACGGGGAAAAGCGTTGCGGGCTTACCGAGTACTATTTATTCGTGAGCACGTGCTCTTTGTTTTCCTGTCTTGATGGTAAGGTGTGTGCGTTTGCCTAGCTTCCTGTTTGTGTGATTGCTTGATTCTCTGCTCGAGTGACCTCCTGCTTGAACACCTTCATGTTTATATATATATATATATATTTTTTTTTTTATTGTTAATATATTTCTTTTTAAATAATATAGTAGTTATATATATATTTGATAATTATGATATTTTCTAAATTTTTTTTTAATTGCGACACATATTAAAATTTTAATTGAAAAACTTGTCATGTGTCACGATCATATGAATTACTAACATATAAAATTTGCTATATATTTCAAAGGGAATTGACTTTCTTCTTTATTCCACTTCTACAATTCTGATTATTTTTCATCGATTCATCAGTTTCTCATTTTATTTGTTTGATTCGATTCTAAGAGAAAAATCAGCCTAGTAAAGTTATAGAGATTTTTTATATTTATAAAGATGTGAGTAATATTTTTTTTCTATTAAGATTACTTTTTACTTGTTTTGAAAAAGGTTTCTTTTTCTTAATTAAATATATTATAATTATTATTTCTTTTAGATATTATTGTGGTTATATTTTCTTATTTATTTTTTTAACAATCGTGATATTTCCTAAATTTATATTTATTTTTAATTTAATCACAACACGTGTCAAAATTTGAATCAAATGATTCACCACGTGTTATAATCATATGAAAACTAATTTTAGTGCATCTAATTTTATATAATAAAATAACTAATATTAAAAAAAAAATTATATAGCTGTGACTTCTCTAAAAGATAACATCAACGAATATACTGTACTTTGATGAAATAGATGTTAACATGAATTAAAAATAAATCAAAATCTCATAAGATTTAAACCAAAGCTGATAAATTCATAAGTGATGGAGATGACGCTGCATCATTAACGTCTTCAATCATATAGGTATTATCTATTTTATTTAGATATGTGTAGGTTTTTAACCTACTTTTACTTCAGCGGGTGCTAGGAGCTTTTCTGTGTATATTATGATACTCAATTTAGGAAGTTTTTTTTTTCCAGCAAAATCAATATATATATTAAACTTAAAATTCAAAGATATTAGGTTTAGGTAGGGGTGTCAATTAGGGCTAAAATCCGAAGCCTGGCTTGGCTCATCCTTGAAAATTAGCTGGCTTGGACTTTGATATATAAGCCCAAAAAAATTGGACATTTCGGACCAAGCCCAACCGGGCATGAGCTTACCCGAAAGCCATGCAAATGATATTATCGTTCATTTAGAGATTTTTATTTCAGAAATTATAATTTATATTTTTTTTTAATTAATCGGAAACTATAACTGTTTAGTTTTATGTCTCTTTATGATTGTAAAGTTAAAGTAGATTTACATTTTGAATACAATCTTTACTATATAGATTTAAAATCTTTTTAAAATTTATTGTTATTTGATTTTAATTTTAATTGAATTTGGTAAAAACATATGAATAATTGTTTAATTTAGATTTATCTTTAATAAACATTTTTTATGTTTTTTTAAAAAAGCCTGAAAAGTCCAAAAAAACCCTATAATCCAATTAGGACTGGACTGGACTTTAGAATATAGGCCTAAATTATATCGGGCTAGGCTGGGTCAGGCTTAAATATATAGAGGGCTTTACAGGTTTTGGACTGGGCCAGTCTGATTGACATGCTTAGGCTTAGGAGCCAACCACTCTGAAAAAATTGAGTCTACATGGAAAAATATCAAACCACGGGCTTGAACGCTCTTAGCAAAGGGATCAGCCCAAAAATTAAGAGAATATGAAGTACAAGCTATTAAAAAATTATGAAAGTTGGAGCGCAAAAACTCCAGTTTTTTATGTTCTGTTAGGAAGTCTATCCATGCATATTATTCAACTTTAGAAATTTATTTCAAGATAATACTCAATTTAAAATGAATTTTAAATTTTGATATTTGGTATAATTTAAAGGCATATAAGACTGAAATAATTGGACTTGAAACACGAATCATATACGATTGAAAAACAATATTAAATGATAAAAAGATCTAAGCCATTTTGCCAAAATTATAATTCTAACAGATGGCAAGAACAAACAGTGATATTTAGTTTACTCAGTTGATAGGGTGATTTTACAACTTTTAATAACATATACATGGTCATAACTTGAACCTTAATTGCTGACCTAAGACGAAAACTTTCCTCTGGAAAGTAATGAACAAAGCCATCCCATGAATGCCAATCTTTTGTCCAAAACAATGGACATCCCAGGTGCGTGCCTCCACTGTGGAGATCTTGAAACCTCTACATATCTTTTCGTTCGATGCTCCTTTGCATCCCCAGTATGGATCCAAGCTCCAGTCAGCAACCCGCTCGTCTTCGACCAGATTGAAGATTTTCGACAAAGCATCGAATCTGCAAAATTTCTAGTCAATCTCTCACCCTCGAGACTGAGCCATGGTCCACTTTTTCATGGGTAATTTGAACTCTGTGGACCAGCAGATGTAAGAAGATGTTCGAAAGGAGACGTACCTCATCGAAGGCAGGCGATCATCTTAACTCAGGATTGGCAGATTGCCCAACCACAGAAGACCAAATCTCCAAAGCCAAGGATACCACACCCGCCCCCTCCAATCGAATTTGATATGATTCGTTGCTAAACAGACACAGCCTGGAAGGAGGGAAGAAACACCGTGGGATTTAATTGGATCTTTGAATCGAACACTAGACCTTGGCTTCAAAAGGAGGTATCAAGCGCAGAGAACATCGGATCACCTCTTATGGCGGAAGCGAGGGCAATCCTCCTTGCTATCCAACATGCACGACGCCTTGACATCCAAAAAATCTGTATAGCATCTGATTCACAGAAGGTGATCAGAGCCATTAATTCAGGGACTCACTTCAAAGAATTTTATGGGATCATCTATGATATCCAAAACCTATCCTCCTTCTTTGCCGATGTTCTTTTTTGTTTGTATGATGCACAACGTTTTAACTGATAGACGAAAATGGGTTCTCTCATGGGCGAAATCGAAGAGAGCTCACAATCAATTATGAAATCTTTCTTCTTGGATCGATTATGAAATCCTCCATTGATCAATGATTGCTTTCGGGTGCAGATAGACGAAATTACACAAGGGATCAAAGTTCTGCACCGTGTGCGGATCAGAATCAGGGAAATCCTCCATTAATTGAGCAAAGACGAAATCCTCCATTGAGCAAAGTTCATTGTACGAGGTGATGGCTATCCAAGGTGATTGCTTTCGTTTCGGTCCTTGAGGGATATTCTGGGAGATTCGGATCAAGATGGTGTTACTTTCGTTCAAGTCACTGTTCTTGAGGTTTATAATGAGGAGATTTATGATCTTCTTTCGACCAACAGTACTATAGTAGCAACAATTTAAGGATTAGTTGGCCTAAAGGAGCAAGCACTAAGGTAATTTTCTTCCTTCCTTTGTGTGAATATTTGTGTGAATGAGGTCTAATTTGTGGTTCTCTGGCTTGGAATTGAGGAATCTTTAAGAACAGTCTCGTCTAAAGGGTTTGTGCTTTGTTGATTTTAACAGGTTAGGCTTGAAGTAACGGGGAAGAAGGCGAAAAATGCAACCTTTGTCTCATGGACAGAGGCTGGGAAAATAGCTAAAGAGATAGTGAAAGTTGAGAAACGTAGGATTGTGAAAAGCACTCTATGTAATGAAAGAAGTTCTCGGAGTGACTGCATGGTTCGTTAAAATTTGATTTGAAGCGTATACTCATTTCTGTATGTTACAAAATCTTTTTAATTGATTGTTTCTGTTCTGTAGTTCATACTAGATGTGCTAACTGTTGGAGGAAGGTTGATGCTTGTGGACATGGTTGGTTCTCAGAACATAGACCAAGCTGGTCAGACGGGATTTGAGGAGAAGATGCAAGTAATGTTTGCTTCTCTAACCCTCTCTCAGTTTAATTTTGATTATATCGAAGTTTCTTATGGTTATGGAATAACTGACTTATGTCACTCTCTCTATTCAACAGACTGCTAAGATCAATCAGGAAAATATTCTCGAGTTGTGGAATCGATAGCAAATGGTGACTCTCACGTGCCCTTTAGAGACAGCAAACTGACAATGCTGCTTCAGGTTAATTTCTTGGTGTCTTGTTTTTTATCCTGAAAGATGTTTTCTGTGGCTGCTTGAAGAAGATGTTTATGTTTTTGTGTGGATGCAGGACTCTTTTGAAGATGACAAGTCAAGATTCTAATGCTCTTATGTGCATGCCCGGATCCAAAGGAAATGCACAAGACTCTCTGCACTCTAGAGTATGGGGCAAAAGCAAAGTGCATAGTTCGTGGGTCTCTTACTCTGAACAGAGATATGAATGGAGGTGACAGCGTTGTTATTGCTCTGTTTTGGAAATGACGAAAAAATAGAAAATTAATTTGCTAAGTTATTGCTCTGTTTTGAGTTATGTTATGCGTTTATGCAGATGAGGACATCAGCGAGCTTAATGAAGGGACTGTATCCTCAGTTGCACCTAGAGAATATTTCGATGGCACCTACAAACTATTGTCCATAGAAATTGATAATGATCGTTGCTACTGTAGTGGTCCGGTGGTTATGCGAGACATGATTGTTGGTTCCAATAAAAAATTATGGAATTGCATAATCCCAACTCCAGTGATTAAGTATTTTCTAAATGGTCTTGAAGAAAGACACATTGGCTTCAGTTTGCTGGATATTCGGTATCAAACCTTGGAGGATGCTCAACTACGTAGACATTTTAAAATGAGTCATGACATGACAGGTGTTCTAATAACCGAAATAGATCCACTGTCAAATGCTTTCAAAGTTCTGAAAAAACACGATGTCATACTTGCAATTGAAGATCTTCCAGTAGATAATGATAGAACAGGTAAACAGTTTAGATTTATGTTGCTGAACATCTTCTTATATATCCATGTGATATAATGAAGTTTAATTCTTATATATTTTTCTTGCAGTTCATTTTCAGAGAAAAGAATATCTCAGTCTTAATCACTTGGTTTCTATGAAGAAACCTGGTGAAGTAGCTTCTCTTAAAATATTAAGAAATGGAAAAGAGCATGCCTACAACGTCAGTTTAAACTTCACCGTAAGTCATTTATTTTTTTCTTTATATTTTTGTTATGTGAATTCAATTAATTGCCGCTTTAGCTCTCTTATCAAAACGTGTTCTGCGGGTATCTTATGTATACAGAAGCAGCAGCTGGTTCCGTACAAATTCATTCCGAGCTATTACATACTTGGCAGGTCTTGATGATTCTAGCAGGAGCACTGCTTGAGAAACAGATTGTATTTATTTGCTCCAATTTGGTAAAACATATAGTCTGTGACATTGTGTATCGACTCTACTGTTTTAATCTCCAAATGTTGCATTTTCCTCTTTGATATAATTACTCAGGTTGTGTTGTGCTTTCTGTGAAATAAATAGGGACTTTTAGCGGCATCAGTTCTATCTATTATCCCAGTAATTTGTCCCTTTCGGTGGCAGAGCTTTTTAATGCCGGTATGATCCTGTTTTTGTCTTACGTCTTCACTGAGAACCTGTAGGTAAAATACTTATGGCTAGCGGTTTTGATTTCCAGGTTTTGCCAGATGATATGCTGGAATCTTTGGATGCCCCAGTCCCTTACATAGTGAGTTTGTGAAGATGATTCCTATATTGTAAGATCCATATCATAATTACTTATGTTGCTTAACAAGCTCTGCTCATTCTAGGTTGGGGTAAAGAACAAAACAAGCTATAAAACATAACAAGCTTTGTTTCATAATTCTTTTTGATTTAGCAGTAGAATAGTTATCCTTTTGAATTCGATAATATAGAAAGACGGAGCTACGCAGTTGATTTGCCATCTTAATTTTTCTGTTATCAACAGCCGTTTGTTTTGCTATGTTTCTCCAGTCATGCTTTACTTTCTTTTGGAACATATGACTCACTTAGTTGTTTCTCTCTATATTTATTGTTTCAAATTTGGATGATTCAGGGTTGCTTTAAATGGTAAATCTTTATCTTACATGATGTTGGTAGGATTCAGAACAGTAGAGAGATATCAGAGAATTTTATTAAATATAATTTTACAATAAATATTTATTATAATTTTTGTTGGAAAATTATATATCATAAAAAGCTGGAAAATATAAAGAATGGATTAAATTTTAAAAAGAAAAGTTGTATTTGTGATTGTTGTTAAACGCCAAAAATTGTCAAAAACTACACCGCGTAAAAACATAAATTTATGGAAAATATTAAAAAAACTAATCAATAACTAAATATTGTAATTCACTTATTTATAATTCATATTTACATGTATAAATATACGTATGTTTTAAAAAATATTCAACTATATATTATAAAAATATATATTACAAAACATATATTTTGTTATTTTTTTTTAACACATAAAAATCATACTTCCATTTTTTTACAAATATGCGTGTAAATATAAATATTAGTTGTGCAAAATCAAAGTTGCATGCGAACTTGTCGTGCATATATTTTGTTAACCTCGATTACACTCTAATTTTAATTTTAGTTATTAGAAAATTTATATATTTTTTGAAGAAAAAATTATATGTCCTAAGAACGGTGAGGTGGTTGGTATGCACGAATGTGCGGACCAACCATATATCCGCTGTTAGGATAAATAAAGATGGTAAACCCTATTTTGGTATAATTAGCAATATGTTAAGAAAAAATATATACTTAATTTATATATTGGAAAGTTTATATTATGTAAAGATAAAAGAAAAAATTATATTAAATAATAATTAAATTCTTATAATATGTTTTGAATGTTATTGTAAACATTAGAAAAAAAATAAAAATTTATAAAATAATCAGTGTCAAAAAACACAAAACAATATGAAACATTTGTGTGATTGTTATTAAACACTAAAATTCTATATGTATACAAATATAATGTATCATGAATTTAATCAGTACACAAATATTATAACTAATTATGTTTAAAAAATAATTATACCTGCACATGCGTGCGGATCAACCATAAAAAGTAAATAAATTATTATATTTTAATATTTTTAGTTTATTTATTTATTATATTTACATTTTTTATCTAAGGAAGTATTTCAAAATTTTGGTTATTTTTTTTATCTTTAATTTTTATTGTAACTATAACATTTTTCATTTAATTTATTGTTATTTTTTATTATTAAATGTTTATATAATATTATTATTACTTAATTAATTATGTACTGATAAAGCATCTTTAATATATAATATTAATTTTTATATATTAAACATATAAAAAATTTTATAGTCTGCACACGGTACACGCCGATTACCTAGTATAAATATAGGAAATAAATACATGTTTTTAAAAGAAAAGTTTTCTAGCAATAACCTAAGCCCATCAAGATAGGGAGAATCACACAGACTTAAGGATCAAGGGAGAATCTTTGAAGATAATAGAAAAATTCCATTATAATTAGGGAAAAATGGTATTTCCTATATCCAAAAATATGAAAATTATCACAAAAGAAAAAAGGAAAATGAGCTTGCAGTAACCGATCTTTGAATCCTATAAATATCCTGGATAGCTCGAAGACCAACTCAGAATCTCTAGAAAGCAGAAGAACAATACCTGAAATTCTAAGCTTTATGATTTGTTATCCTAAATACTTTCTTTCACTTCGGTAAGACTTCTAGGTCACGCTTCCTTTGTAACCATCAATAAGCCTTTGAACTTTTAATAAATACTAGGTAATAACCTGCACACTGTGCGGGATAAAATAATAATTATTTATTTAATATAGTATAATTTTAAAATCATATAACAAAATATAATTTAATTTATATGAGTTGTTTATAATATTATGCTGTAATATTGACAAAATATTTTTTCTTGTTTATTTTATGAAATATAGGGTAATTTAATTCTAATGTAAATTATTTTAAAAATTAAATATTTATGCGCAATCTAGATAGAAATATGAAGTCGCTCTTTATATTTTCTATAACCGATGATTAATAACATGATGTTAAAATTCAAAAAAAAAATAAAGGGAGTATATTTTGATTAAATTATTAAGTATCTAATGCACTATGATAATAATAAAAAAAATTTACTACTTCTTCTGTTTCATAATTTTTTTTAAGGTTTTATATTGTTTCACAATATATTTGTTTTCATTTTTTTTACTACTTCCTATGAATACTATGTGACCGATTATATTTTTCAGTTTTTCATAATTAGTTGAATTATATTTAATTTATATACTAAATGATTACTTTTTAAAAAGAAAAGTTGCTTTTTAATCTTTGTGCTTTGATGCAAAACATTTTATATTTTGAAATAGAGAGTATTAAAATTGTAAAAATAAAATTTGATTATAAGATTCTATAATCGATTTTAATATTTTTTTTACAAATGTAAATACATATTTAGATTAATCCGCAAAAGCTATAGTCATAAGAATATTAACTTTTAAGAAAAGAAAATTACTGTGAAATTTATTTTAAATACTAAATATACATAAGGATTATATAAAAATAGATTATATTTTTTATTATTTTAATACATTATCTAAAATTATATATAAATGAGTCAATACTTATGCATTCTTAACTTTTTGATTCAATAAAAATATTTTTAATATCAAAAGTTTAATAAAATTATTATATAATATCTTTACAAAAATATTTTAATTTTTTACCAAGTTATTTTGTTGTATAAATTAAAAATTTATGATATTTAACTTTTTAATCAAATAAAATATTTATAATATTATATTCTATTAACATATTCAACTACTTTTTTATAGTTGAACTTTTTATTAATATTTTATACTTATTATAAAGTTTAAATATTTATATTATTTGGTTAATTTATATGGTTCTAAAACCATATGAAACCAAAAATAATTATAATAATAATATCTATTGTATTAAGCTTTCTGTTTTTTTTTTATCATCTATGTATTTTTTATATTAATTTATGAATCATCTATCTACATATTCTCATTTTCAATTTTAGTCTTTCAAAACATACTTTTATTTATTAATCATTTGAGTAATTTATATTTTTTTATGAAATTCGAATTATAACACTATATATATATATATTATTGTACTATATGAATGATGTGATGGTTTATTTTTCTACAAAAATAAAATATAAAATATAATATTTAAAGAAAGAATTAATATGATATTTTTTTAATTGATATCAATATAATTGATATAATTGATATAAACTAATGTATAACCAAATTAATGTGAGTGGTATAACATGTAATTAATCTAGTAACATAAGTATATTTTTATAACTTTGCTGAAAATGATTCTGGTGATGACACATCAACAAAATGGCACCATTGTAATAATTTACAAAATTAAGGTTATTCTTTAAAAATGCTTCTCTTTTAATATATAGGGGATTTATTTTCTGAAATCCACAACTGTTAATTACTTATTCATATAGCTGATTTTATGGTTCAATAATATAATATTTTATTTTTGGTATATAACAAATTCTCTCAAATTTTAAAAGTAAAAAGTGGGACGGAAAAGAAAACTTAAGCTAAAAAATTTCATTACTTTGGTTGACAAAAAGAAATAGTTTATTTTTCCTGTAATGCAAAAATAAGAAAAGTGTTGTGACTTGTCACTAACCAATTTGACTATCTTTTTTTTCTTTTTTTTTCTAAAATAGATTTTTTTTATTACAATAAAGCCCTTACAAATAATTGTTACAATAAATAAGAAAAGACTTTTAATGTGTGGAGTGAAAGCAGACGTTTCCTCGTTCCTCAACTATCTCCATGGTTCTGCTGACCCACTTTTATTATCTTTTCCCATACATTTGATTATACACATATATACATAGATTCATTGTAGATTTAAGTAACAAAAGTATTGTATAACAAGTAATAAATGTTGACCCAAAAAGTACTAATAAGTTATCCATGTTCGGATCATATGTATGCGCTACCATATAGCAAACGTGGGCACATCACATGATAAGCTAATGTCTCTTATAATCTAATTTCACTTTTAGTTATTGAAAATACTTATCAAATTTTCACGTCCTTAGTAGCGATTCCGTTGTAGATACAATGCACATGTTATAAGTAGACCTAGAAAAATTAATCTCTTTAAATCAATTTTAGTATTAGTAACTTGTGGAAACTCTTTTCAATTGGAATGTTTCCGAATAGATTCGATCAAATAATCTAACATATTATCAAGCCCAATCGAGACATCTTAGACAAATAAAAAGTCCAATAATACAATGAATTGTTATTGCCCTGTTTTAGAACACAGGACGAGAATATAAGTTCCGGCAACTCAAATTCATCCAAGCATATCTCTATATGAAACAATGAGCGATAAAAAAAAATATACAAAAAAATGACTTATGAAACATAAAAACATCATCGTGAGTAAATCCAAAAGAATATGAAACAAAATATACAAGAAGATGTATTTACAGTTGAAAAAAACTTTAAATTGATATACAGCTTGTGAATACTTTTGAAAATGTATCTACAACTGTTAAAATTTCGTCCGATCCCATGAAGGTGTTTAAGAAGGTGCATTTACAGACTTTAAATAGACAAAAAATTGTTTAATTATTTAATTATCGTCAGGAAAATCCAAATATCCCCCATTTAACAAAAAGAAAATAAACAGTAAAATCCAAATTACCCCTTCATGGGACCGAACGACATTTTGGCCTATCCCTAACAGAAGTAAGGAGCATTTGGAGTGGCAATTGTCTTTAGTTATTATTATTTTTGTGTTGTAAATTTGATTAAATAGCTTAAAAGCTTCTAAAATGCTATACCAATTAGATTCTTAGTATAAGACAAAAAAATTATTTAAGTATAATTATATATGATTTTTTCTTGGGAAATATAGGCCGAATTTTACTGGCTGTGATTTCTACCTGCGATGCCACTTTGCATATGTCATATGATGGATACAATCATAGTTGTAAGAGAAATTATACAGGAATATTCGTGATTAGTCAATGACCATTTAAAATCAAAACAGCAAAAGAAAAATAATCGTGAGTATCACTGTTTAGTTGTCCAATCACATTAAAAGAAGAAAGTATACATTTCCCATTTCTGAAAAGTCCAATCATAATTCATATATAAAAGCTACTTACTAGACATAAACTTGTGAATGTCATCATATTATAAATTGTCCTTGGACTTTCTAGTTGACAGATCATTGAAGCAGAGCACAATGGGAGGTTCACACCTATAATTTGCAGCTCCTCATTTCAAATAATAAAAACGGTAGATAAATTTTCTTGATGTGTCCCGTTATTAATTGCATCATCTCTGTCTTGTCCTTTCTTTCGTATGCTCTTAGCTTCTTCTTCAAGCAAAACTAGATAATAACGGATCCATTTAATTTATAATCGTAGGTTGTTCTTGAATTGCTGGTTTTGTCAGAATAGTTGCTTTCTTCTATTATATTGAGGTAACATTATAATGTCTGCTTTCTTCCATGGAGAAACTGAAATGAGAGAACCTTCTTCTGATCTTTTCATGATGAACATGAATCCGTTCTCCGACCCTACAACAACCATTAATACTCATAACCATAACTTCTACAACTTGGGGTTCGGGTCTCAACAACATCTTCGGCGAGTGAGCAAAGATGAAGTAGATCGTACCGAACAGGGGAACTCTTCGATCCCCACAGTTTCAAACGGAGGAGTAACAGAAAGCTTCATGGTTTTGTCTCCGATCTACTTGAAAGCTGCTCAAGAATTGCTGAATGAGATTGTGGCTGTTGGAAACGGTTGCCGTGGCGCCACACAAGAACAACAAATGAATAAAGAGTCGGCGATTTATGAAGTTGGGGACAACAACGGTGTCCATATTCCTGGCGCGGCTGCTTGTCGGCAGGAGTTGCAAGCAAAGAAAGTGAAGCTCATCTCCATGGTGAAAAAGGTAACTCATATATAACCACCTATATATAGAACTCGATGTAGGTAGGGAACACAATTAATCCTAATTAACTTGCTCTTGTCCATGGCCGGAGAAGATTATTGGCGGTTAACAAAAAGGAAAACAACATACGAAATCTATCTTTACAAACAACAACCATCATGGTAAAGGTTTTTTCGTTGAAGTTGGGGACTAAATTCAATCTTTAAAACTTTCATGTTCTCTATTTTACATGTTCTAGAAGTAGTATGAGATTCATGCACACAATTGAATTGGTTATGTAACAAAAAAAGAATTCTTTATATGGAAAAAGAAACAAACGGTATAGTTAGTACGTTAAACGAATAACATAATAATGTAATAACTGAATAATTGTTGAAAGAGCGAATTGAACTGAATAAAATTATTGTAGAATAATTATGAAATGATGAAAATTTATATGTTTTGTTCTTTTTTAGTTAGAATTTTAGCACATTAATTGTATATAAATAAATCAATTTTCAAAAACATGAAAATATAAAAATTTAATAATAGTGTGAATGGTAAAAAAATAGAAAAAATATATTTTATAAACGTGAAAACTTAAACAATTGATATACCATTTATCACCAAAATTGCATATGTTAAGCCGTTAACAAAAAAAAAATCATATATAGAGTATTTTCTTATAAGTTAAGTGTTACATGAGAAATGAGCATATTTCCTAAAAGGGTTTTTTTTAGCAATAACTTAAGTCTATTGAAATCAAGAAGACCGCGTTAACCTAGCTCGGATTAAAGGAAATTCCTTGAAGATAACCTTCGAAGATTGGAAACATCGGATCGATTCAAAAGATAAAGAAGAATTTCCATATTTTTCGGAGAATAAGAGATATTTCCATATCGCAGATATGAAAATATTCACCAAAGGCAAAAAGGAAAAGGAGTTCGGAGCAATCAACCTCCTATTCCTATAAATAAGAAGGCCTCGAAGCCAAGAAGGACAACTCATACATTCTAGAGAGCAGCAGAGCTAAAACCAGAGACTCCAACGCTTTCTAGTTTACTTCGCAAACACCTTTTTCACTTCGGCATAACCTCTCGGTTATACCCTTCTTTGTAATTGCTACGCTTTCTTGCTATTAATAAAAAGATCTTATTCTCCAAAACCCACAACTGTTAATCAAACCCTAGTGGTGATTTTCTGGTTCAACAGTTGGCGCCGTCTGTGGGGACTAGGAGAATAAATTTTTTTTTAAAAAAACAGCAAGCACAAGCCGAAGCAATGAGTCTCCTGATCGACAACAACGATCTCATCCGCAACAAAGATACCACTACGCACACCGAGACATCTGGTCTCGACGAGCATGGCAATCCTACCAACGCGAATCCATCCACGGGAGCACCCTCAGCTCCCATCCTCGCCACCAACCTCGCAATAGCCATCCAGGCTGCCATGCTCCCCCTCACGCAAAACTTGGTGTCAAAACTAGACACCCTCTAGGCCCAGCAAGCCAAATACGACGAGCAGCTCAGCGCCTTCGCGGCCGCGACCACTGCAAGATCGGAACCAGTCGGGCGACGTTTAGTCTTCGAAACACCAGAGCAAAACAACACCAGGGAAACGACGGCGGGCGACGAAGAGCCATCCGGCAAACTGAATTCCGAGATCGCGAGGTTGCACCACCGAATTAATGCAATCGGATCTCAGGTTCACCGCGCCACCAGTTCGGCACCCGAAATCTCGGCCATACTCTCGGATGCCGAACGCAATCCATTCGCCCCACCGATCACCGATGTACGACTTGGTGAAGCAATCAAACTGAAGCTCCCGTATTACAACGGGATGGAAGACCCCAACCTATGGCTGACCGGATTCAACGTCGTCATGAAGAGGCAACGATTCGAGATTGACCTTGAACGCGAAGCCAACCATTGCCAAACCTTTGTAGAGCACCTCAACGAGGACGCTCTAAAGTGGTTCTCCAACCTCCCGCCAGCATCGATCAAATCCTTCAAGGATTTGTCCCATGCCTTTATAAAACACTACTCCATGTTCATTACAAAGAGGACGGTCAACCTCTTTACCTTGGTGCAAGAACGTGATCAGCCACTCCGCGATTTCATCGAGAAATTCAAAAACGCCGCCGCGACATACGGCCAAATCCCGCAAGCCTTAGCCATCGAGGCACTCATGAATGGCCTCTGGTTTGAATCCACCTTCAAGGAGGATCTACAGAAGAATCCAAAGGAAACCATAGAGGACACGCTCCACCGAGCCCAAACTTTCATACGCATGGAAGAGGAGAAAATTTTCTATGCCAAGAAGCACGGCATGGATGTACCAACCACCTCGCAAGACAAGGATCTCATCGGAAAAAGCAAGCCATCATCCCATGCTGTTGTCACTACTGGAGAGAAGCCCTAGAATCATTGGTCCCGCGGCGATCCTCCAAGGAGCTCAAATGATAGAGACGACAATCATGACCTCTACTGTTCCTTCCACGGACGAACCGGGCACGCTACCTCGGTCTGCCGACACCTCCAAAGCACACTGTATGAAAAATACAAGGAGGGCAAAATCGACGTCGGTGGCGATCGATCCCAAAACAAAAACTCCTACTCACGTAGTTCCAACTCTAAGAACTCCCGCCGAAGCGCTTTTAGAAAGGATCACCGGGATCCAGAGAAAATAGCAACTGTAGCAGTTCTGGAGCCAGGCGTTGAAGTCGTTCGCCTGAGAAGAAGCACCAAGAAAAGGAAAAGGATAAGGCGGCAGAGCATCCAAACGACGAACGTGAGCATGACAATCTGCCCCCTCCGCCAAAGCGACGGGTCAATATGATCATGGGAGGACTCCTCGACTGCGATGATTCGGTTCGCGCCATCAAAGAATATGGCCGCAAAGCAATCACTTCGCGTAAATTCCGTCGTCCGGTAGACTACCACCCAACAATCACTTTCACGTCAAAAGACATGCACGGGTTACACACCCCACACAACGACCCACTTGTGGTCGAGCTACACATCCACAATAGTGAGGTGGCTAAAATATTGGTGGATACTGGCAGCATTGTCGACATCATCTTTAAAGACACGTTGACCAAGATGGGGCTCCAGGATAAATACATCAAGGCAGCACCGAAGCCTCTAACTGGCTTTGCCAGCGAGTCTTTCTTCACCCTCGGCACCATACGACTCACAATCTACGTCAGCGGAGTGACAAAAATTGTCAAATTTACTGTCATGGATAAACCCACAATTTACAATGCTATACTCGGCACACCTTGGATCCACGAGATGAAAGCTATCGTGTCGATCTACCATCAGTGCATGAAGTTTGCTACCTCGGTCAGAGTTTTCACACTTCACGGCAATCAGCAGATGGCAAGATCTTGCTTCATTAGCGAGTGAAAGGTGCGACTTTTATCGGCAAAAGCCCTTGAGCACGCTAAATAAAAGTAGAGACGACAATGAATCTAGCAATACTTAGTTTTCCCTTTTTTTTTTCAATAAAACCGGGCTTGGCCCCTGAGTGATACTACTCATTCAATAATTGTAATGAACTATGAACGGCTTGATCCTAATTTGGGTACGTAGGCAACCTCCGGGTGCAGCTGTAAGTTTAATAAATTTTCATTTCGGAAAATTAGCTCGGGATGTAATGTCATATTTTCTTATGCGAATGCATTTTGCTGAATCGATGTTCTGGCCAAACATTCGGTTAGAAAAAGCAAACACAACAAATAAAAAAAACAGTGGCTGATCACCACTCCATTGATACTTCGTTCGATTTAATTACTTCGAAGTGGATAAAAAGAAAGCCAGGGACAATACTCGCACGACACTCGATCATACCTTTCAGGCCGAAGTGAATCCTGAAAACTTGGTATTCGATCATGAACTTCGTTTGGTGTAAGATAAGCAAAGGAATCCCGCTTCCAGTTCCGAACTAAAAAGTTCATCGCACAAACTTTGAAAGATCCCGAAAGATAAAGAGAAGCAGAAAATTCTATTATAAAAATCAAGTACCAAGGTGTTACAAAAATAAAGAGTCAATTAAAAATAGACGGCTCAATGTGCGTCATTCCTCGGATCACTCCAGCAGGCTATCAATCTCCGATCTGCTCGGAAGGTTCAGATCTTCACTAGTAATGACTATCTCGTCAATAGCATCACTGGTCGCCTTTCACTTAGCGAACTCCCTCTCAAAAGATGGGAGGGTTCCGGCAGGGAGTTCCCATCCTTTGTCCTGCATCTTCTTTAAAAACTCGACCATCGAGCTATTTTTCCCCACGCCCACAAGGGCTGCTTCTACTTCTTCATGCTGAACCAGCGACGCTTGAATCCGATCTAGTTGGGCTTAAACCAAGCGATAATGCCGTCAAAGACCTTATCAGCGACACCTCGCACTACCTCGTCATGAGACTCATGAAGTTTTCTTCTCTTGGCAAGGAACCTTTGCGAATTTTCCTCGTTTTGCTTCTCGAGCAACTAATTCTTCTCGCTGAGAGCAGCCACCTGTTTACGAAGCCGAGAGGCCTCCGCCACCTCGCTCTCGAAGGCTTCGACAACACCTTCGAGCTGAGCGCACCTTTCTTTGAGAAGCTGATTCTCCTCTTCCGCTTTTCTGAGCTCCTTGATCTCAGTACAGGCGGCGTTCAACGTCATCTCCTCTTGGCAAAATTGTTATCATACACCGCAAACGCGGACATATACGTTCTCAAGCTCTGCATCACACCCTATTTATCAGGAAACACGTGATAAAAAGGGGCACAACATACTCGCTACCAAAGAATAAACGAAAAATACCCGAGCTATCATTTGACTCACCGAGGATATTGAATCCGCCAGCTTCAGCTCTTGAAGTGGCTTGCTCCATCGCGGTTTCTTCCTGCACATCCAGATCAAATTCGCGGCAAACTCGCGGTTAAGCATCGCCGGAGTGGTCCCATCCCATCTCGCGCAAAAATGATGACGATTGTAATCAAAAGACTCCTCCTCCTGCTTGGGCTCGGTCGGAACACTTGGATTGGCACCATCAGTGCCCGGGGCCTTTTGAGCAGCCTCCTCTGGAGCGCTAGGACCAACATCATCTGTGTCCGGAGAAACTTTGGAAGGGGTCGGCCATTCAGAATGAGCCGCAGCAGGCTCCTCGTTCCTTTCCCGACCTGCATCCTCCATGCCCTAAATATCGGGACTCTTAGGAGTATCAGCCCGAGACGGCAAAGAAACACCAGCCCGGGGGGGGGGGGGGGGGCGAAGAAACAACCTTGCGAGGGCTCCGGGCAGCATCGGTAGCATCCCCATCACCACCATCCGCAACTCGAGAGGTGTGATTTTGGGATGCTTCGCCCTGAGAACCCCTCGCAGCTTTTTTAGCCCGTGCCCGCTTCAATCTTTCTAACGCGGCTGCCCTTGAGAAACTTGAAAAAGAAAGAAGAAGTATCAAAACAGAAAAAATCATCTCGGCAAGACGAAGTAAAAACACAAAGTAAGGAAAGGAGTTTACCCCGCAAGAGTCTCATTCTCAACGGCCAGTTCGGCCTCGTCGGAATCCACCAGAACAAGTGGATCCTGGGGAATCGACTTCCTTTTCTTCGCAGAGGAGCTCGCGGGGACGTCTGCATTAACTGACGAAGCCGCCTTCCTCTTCCTTCGGACTCCCCCTTTGGGTTTTGACTGCGAAGTCCTTCCTGCAGCTAAAAATGATTCAAAACAAAGGGATAAGGAGTTACCTTTAAGAAAAATTTTAAAATTTTTTACTTCGATCTAGCAACCTACCCGCTTTCAAAGATCCAGCTTTCTTCTTGGCCGGCTTGGTTGCCTTCTTTTTCTCCTTCTCGGACCATAACTGCCGGCCCAAGTCGCGCAATCTCTTGACATCGACGTCAAACCCGAACGGGTCATCTCCAAGACGTACTGCCACTACCATGACAAAAAAAACACACATCAACATCTAAAAATTAGCTAGAGAAGAGAAATACAAAGAAAGTTTGCCTTACATGGCATCGACCTCCAAATCTTGAACAAACTGAGCTCGGAGCTACCGATAGATGACTCGTTGATCTTCACATAAAAGAAAAACCGGTCCCATTCATGGACCTTACTTGTCGGGTCCCCACCAATAATCTCCTCCTTCATCGTGGTATAAAAATGACGCCACCCCCACGGTTTAGCCTCCCTTTCTTCAGAATGGATATCCTCTCGAAGATATCCCAGTTAAAGGGAACCATCGCCGCATGAGCTACTGCCGCCAGGCTGTTAAAATGACGGATTACGGCGTGAGAAAGCTGCGCCACCGGCATCTTCCTCTGTTCGCAGTAACGGAGAAGCAGCAAAATCGGGAACTGAAGGCCGAACTCCACGAAATGGCACTCGTAAGAACAAAAATAGCCCTCTGGGGGTGTGGTCACTCTCTCATGAACCTGGGGAAGTAGAAGCTCGACCCCCTCGGGAAAACGACATTTTGAGCGAAGCTCCTGGAGTCTTTCTGCAGTCATCCAAGTCCGTCCGTCTTTAATGCCGGTCCTGTGCTTCGACATTGCGATCTTCTGCGGAAGACCCTCAATCTTATTTTCCGACTCAAAGCCTTCTGGCTCGGGACCATCCGAATCTATTTCGGAATCAGCGTCAAGGTGATCCGACGGGATCTCATCCCGATAACCCGAAGACCTCTCGGAATCAGAGGAAGAAGAAGCCACCGGGCTAATCCAGGCTTGCCTCACAGCAAGAGAGATTTCGTCATCATCGAAGGAAGATTTTTGTGACGAAGTCGACATTTTTGAAAGGAAAGAAATTTTACGTAAAGCAGAAGAAGCAAAAGGAAGATCGGCGAGTAGAAAGAAGAATTATTACAGCAAGAAGAGAGGATTATTGCAGAATTTCTAAAAGGACGCATGCCAAGATTAAAGAGTAAAATCAAAAAGTAATATCAACAGTTTTCTAAAAGGACGCGTGCCAAGATTCGCACAGTCTCGCCGCTTGGTGGACCCTTCGCCTTTTCCGCTTGGAAGCAAAACCCTAAAATGGGTCGGAGTATTAAATAATTAATTCTTGGAAAGCACCACGCGTCAAGTCCACTTAAAATCGGGCCGAGCTGGCCATCGCGAAACAACGCTCTTGACGAGCTAACACTTATTGCGAGATCAAACCCACTTAAAAACTTCTTGAAGTCCGTCGTCCTGATTTACAATCAGTCTCGCCGAACTGGGGGAGGGGGACTTACTGTTAGAGGCGAAATGAGTACATTTTCTAAAAGGTTTTCTCTAGCAATAACCTAAGCCCATCGAGACCAGGAAGACCGCGCCGACCTAGTTCGAATTAAAGGAAATCTCTTGAATATAATCTTTGAAGATCAGAAACATCGGATCGACTCGAAAGATAAGGAAGAACTTCCATATTCTTCGGAGAATATGAGATATTTCCATATCGCAGATATGAAAATATTCATCAAAGGCAAAAAGGAAAAAGAGTTCGGAGCAACCAACCTCCTATCCCTATAAATAAGAAGGCCTCGAAGCCAAGAAGGACAAGTCATACATTCTAGAGAGCAGCAGAGCTAAAACCAGAGACTCCAATGCTTTCTAGTTTACTTTGCAAACACCTTTTTCACTTCGGCATAACCTCTCGGTTATACCCTTCTTTGTAATTGCTACGCTTTCTTGCTATCAATAAAAAGATCTTATTCTCCGAAACCCACAACTATTAATCAATTCCTAGTGGTGATTTTCTGGTTCAACATTAAAACTTAAAAAAAAAAAAAACAAATTTAAGTTAAGTTTTAAAGATCAAGTAGTAATTGTTTTGTGTATTTTGCACAGGTTGAACAGAGATACAAGCAATATCACAACCAAATGCAGACTATAATTTCATCGTTTGAGCAAGCAGCGGGTTTGGGCTCGGCAAACTCATACACACATATGGCGGAAGAAACAATATCAAAACAGTTTCGTGCTGTAAAAGACATGATATGTTTGCAAATTAAACACATAAACAAGTTGTTGGGAGAAAAAGAATGTGAAGGTTTAAGTTTAGGTGATGATCAGCTTAGGCAGTTCGGCAAAATGCCACATAACCATTCAAATGCTTGGAGAACGCAACGAGGTTTGCCTGAAACAGCTGTTTCCATTCTTCGCGCTTGGCTCTTTCACCATTTTCTTCATCCGTAAGCCAATTTTTACCTATATATTAGTTTTTTCGTTGATAAGTAAATTCATACAATTTATCACCAAAATTTCATATGTTAAGTATGTAAATTCATACTTCAAGTGTAAAACCAATTGAAAATGAGTCGATTACCAAAGTTAGATATATCTCCACTTATGATGTTGACAATCTAACAATGAAACCTTGAAACTAATAATATAGGATAACAAGAATATTAAACAATATTGTTTGAATGTGTCACCCAACTAATTAGCTGCGCCTTGTTTTGGATTGAACAGATATCCGAAGGATTTGGATAAGGAAATGCTCGCCAAACAGACCGGCCTTACAAAGAGCCAAGTAAGTTTCTGCAGTTACTTGTATAAACTCTAATAAAATTGAAATATTTTAGAAATATCCAAATTTTGGAATATTCGAACTACAAATTTTGAGAGAATATAATGTATTTTATATATTATTGTAGTTTGGTTATTATTTTACCAAAGCGTTTGCTAGATTTACTAACTCATTTTTTGAGAAAGGGTTTGCTAAATTTACTAACTCATTTCAATTCTCAGATGTTGGATATACTTTTATTTGGTTATGCTAGATTTTTCATAATACAAAGTTGATGGTAAAAATTACTACTAATTTATTATCTTCAGCAAAATATATTCTGATTAGAATATATTTTCTAAGAATCATATTATTGATTGCTGTGACCAATATATTCCTTATTAACCTGAAAATATTAAAAAAATTATAGTAAACATTGGTGTATCAAAATATATTTTGGTAGATGAAAAATGCTATACTTTTCTTATATATGATTTGAAAAAACGAATAAGAATTATTTTTAAATTTTGATGTTAAATGAATGTAGGTGTCAAATTGGTTCATAAATGCTCGAGTTCGAGTGTGGAAGCCAATGGTGGAGGAGATGTATATGGAAGAAATGAATATCGATGCAACAAGAAAGAGAGGAAACCTCAATGACCATACTAACAAAGGTTCATCCTCTCAGAAACCATACAATAATACCACTTCAGATGAATCTTTAAACTCGATTTTACCCGTTTTTCATCAAGGATTCATTGAAAATGAAATCCCTATGCAAAACTCATCCTCAAGTTGCAGCATAGTGACGTTCAACAAGCAACACGTCAGTCAAGCAAACTTGATCCATTTCAACGGAAGGTTTGAAAACAATCACGCAATGGTTGGAAACAGTGTCTCCCTTTCTCTTGGCCTGCATCATTCTTGCGACCAAACCTTTAACAGCATCCAGTTTGGATCGATAAGTAATGGAACTGAGATCTTGGGTATATATCCCTCTCTAACATATCAAATCATGGATTAGATCTTAATAGAGATCACATATATATAATCTGTTCGTTGCCTACGGTTCTTGTGACCTTGGCCCATGGCCATGGGTGCTTTCATAGAGATGGATATGTGTAAGATAGCACAGAGAAAATGACTAAAGTATAGGGTTTGATAAAAGTTTAGATAACACTACTTAACTCAAGTAATTAACTAGATATAATACGGCATGCCTTGGTGTCTATAATCAGATATTAGTTAGTATTGTAATGGATATGGTGATCAAGATGGGATACAATCGAATGCTTGGCAGATTGGTGTAAATAGAGATCATATTAGCCAAGAGACCCATGCTTCCCTTTAATTGTGTCTTTATGAATGTGTGTTTGTGTGTGTAAATGTATCCACAACAGTCGCAATTATCATTTCTTCTGCAATCTTATATATACGAGTTTTACTATTTGTTATGACTATGTTTGTGTATGTAATGTGCGTTCATGTGTAGTTTATGGTTTTTGATCTTGAAGTTGTTTTCTTTTGCTACCCAAAGCTTGTGTGGTTATATATTATAAACTCTCGAGATTGCATCAGATTTCAAAGTTCATGGATTGTATTGCTAAGCATCATTATCGGCAGATACCATAACAAAAGTATCTCAACAATATTAAATTAATATTTTAATAAAGTAACTAACATTAAAATTTAAATATAAAATTAATTGACCCATTCACACATTGATAAATAGATGTATATATCTTTCTCTCTTTCCTGCTTTTTTAAATATTTTTTGGGAAGTTTACTAAAATGACCCAAATTTAACGTTTTATTACTAGAGTAACATATACACTTTTTTAACCGATGGAACACATTTTATGTCTATTTTATCTTTTAATGATATTTACCAAAAAAATATTACAAAAATGCCATTATAATATTTTCGAAAATACCATGACAAATTTATAAATAAATAAGTTTATCGAGATAATCTGCCATTTATTTGATGGCAGGTTTTTATTTTTGCACAGATTTATTTTTTTGATAGACTATTTTCACAGATTTTCATCTAGGATAGATTTATTTGTAAAACTCTGTCATATGAAATAACAGATTTATTTTTTTCGTTAGACTTATTTTCTGAGACAGATTTATATAGCAGATTTTTAATAATGACACAACAGATTTAATTATTTTTAACAGACTTATTATCTGAGATAGATTTATATAGCAGATTTTTTTCACTGACACAACAGATTTAATTATTTTTAACAGATTTATGTTTGAGTGACAGTTTTGATTGATAAACTTATTCTCGTCATCAATGTTATTGATGACAAACTTTTTTTAAACAACATATTTTGATATCGAACAACAGATTTGCTATGACAGACTTTAATAAATCTATTATGACAGACTTAAAATAATAAATACCTAATTTGACATAATATGTAAAAACTTAAAACTTAAAGTAAAAAAACGAGCTTCCGTCTTCTTCTATCTTCAAAAAACGACGATAACCATCTTCTTCTCTCTTCAAAACAATCAAACATCTTAATCTTCTTCCTCTTCAAAACAAACCCCACATGGCGCAAATAATCTTGGTATGTGGTAAATGGATGCTTGAAGAAAACAGATGGTTATTTGATGTTGATGGTAATAAAGACACCAAAACTGTAACAATAAATCGTTCTACATCTTATGAAGAATTTATTCAAACAGTTTACGAGGAGTATGGATTGGATGAGAGATTATATGAAGTTGATTTGAGTTACATGTTTCCGAAAAGGGTTTTGATGAAGTTGCCGCAGAATACAGCTCCGGTGGTTGTTGGAAATTCATGACAGTTTAAGGTTTTTTTTTAACAATACAAAGCTGCTCCACGTCGACTTTGTGTCCAAGTTAAAGAGAAAGAAAAAACAGAAGTGTGATCGATATAAGCATAAAGAGGAAGATGAAGTTAATGAGGAGAAAGTGTCAATGTGTGAGGGAAATCAAGATGACCACGAGGAACGCAGATTTGATTGTTGTGATGTTTCAGATGGAGCTACATCTGACGACGAAGACTTTAGCTTGTATGGAAAGCCTCCGGAGGAAGAGAACGAGAAGAGCACGATAACAGTTAAAAAAGAGGGTTCACGAGTACAACCAAGGAAACAAAGGGAAGCGATGCACATGTGAAACTAGAATTGAATTCACTTAATCTAGTTGTTGGACAACGTTATGAGACAAAAGACGCTTTGGAGACAAGATTGAAGATTTTGTCAATCTTACATCAGTTTGATTTCAATGTTGTTAAATCAACACCGTGTTTGCTAGTAGTTAAGTGTTGGGTGAATGGATGTACTTGGAGAGTGCGAGCTTCACCGGTCGAAAATTCTCTCTAATTTTACGTCTGTGTGTATGTTGCGGAACATACATGTTCTATTACAGAGCGTTCTTCGCATTCTCGACAAGCAACTCCGAAGATATTAGGACTATTGTACAAAGATTTCGTTGGTGGTGTTGGAGCTAAAGTTTTACCAATCCATGTTTCTCAGGCATTAAACATGCGATTTGGTATCAAGGTGTTTTTAAAATTCAGCTATTGCACTAAATTTAGCATTTAATTTGATATAAGAACAGTTTTACAGATTTTTTCCCTATAACTAGATGGATTATTGGAAGGCTCACAAGACACTTAAACAAGCACGAGATTTGGTTAGAGGAACTTCAGAGGAAGGGTATGCTGAATTACCTGTTTACTTACACATCATAAAAAGAGAAAATCCTGGTACATTTACACGCCTAGAAGTTGATGACAATCAAAGATTCATGTATCTTTTTTCTTGCGTTTGGTGCTAGCATTAATGGATTTCCCTTCATGAGAAAGGTGGTGGTCGTTGATGGCATATTTTTGCAAGGAAAATTTAAAGGAACACTTCTTATTGCCACTTCGCAAGATGGAAATTTTCAAATATTTCCAATTGCTTTTGCAATAGTCGATACTGAAAATGATGAATCATGGGATTGGTTCTTCAGGCAACTTCATTGTGTGATCCCGGACGATGAAGGACTAGCTATAGTTTCTGATAGGCAGAAATCAATTGGGAAGGCCATTGAAAATGTATATCCGATGGCTAGTCGTGGAATCTGTACGTACCACCTATATAAGAACATTCTGGTGCGATTTAAAGGCCGTGACACCTTTAGTTTGGTTAAAAAGGCGGCAAACTCTTTTAGAATTGCAGATTTTGAGTCCATATTTGATCAGATCGAAGTCTTGAATCCAGCATTGCATAGCTATTTGCAAAGTGCTAATGTGCAACTGTAGACATGTGTTTATTTTCCGGGAGATAGGTACAATATCACTACAACCAATATTGCAGAATCGATAAATAGGGTGCTCTCGGACACAAAGAGTTTGCCAATTGATCATCTATTAGATGCAATACGATTAATGATGACGCGGTGGTTTTCTGGGCGAAAGAATGAGGTTGGGTTAACGAAAATGACTTTGACCCGTGGAGTCGAGAAGCTGTTGGAGGTAAATGTTATGTAACTTATTAATGGCTCTGAAATATTGTTTAACAAGACCTAACTACTATACTGTTTTACCAGATTTATGTACCATATGCTTAGAAGCTTCTAGTGCAAGCTATAGATGCAAATCAATCGCAAGTTACTGATGGATCATCTTTGCGTGTCGTTCACTTAACCGAGAAAAAATACTTGATATATCATGGTTTTTGCTGGTTTTTAACCATGGTATACGTCTTGTTTATAGAGTCTTTTTAGTATTTTTCGAGTCCTATAGAGTCTTTGCAGGTCTAGGTACGAATGGAGCATAATTGTGGATTCTCGAACCTTTTGGAGCTATACTGAAGTTGATGCTGAAAGGACCAAGTCGGAGGGCATTAAGGAACAGGGTGTCGATCGACACCCACTACTTGGTGTCGATCGACACCGGTCATGGTCGTGAGGAAGTATAAAAGCTCATTGGAAGAAATTGCAACTTGGCCCAGAAGTTTCCCACTATTTGCACTTTTGCCCCAGTTCGTGTTTAGACTTGTATTTAGGTTTTCTAAGCCACTGTTAGACAAATATTCTGATATTCATTGAGACTAAGAGAGAGATTAGATTGAGAGCTTTTGTGGAGACAAATCCATACTCTGTAGAGAAGAATTTCGAACCCCTTCATCTTTTACTCTATTTTCTTAATGCAAAATTATTCAGTCATGATTTGTGTTTCACTTGCTATGTCTGAGTAATCTGCTAGTTAGGTTTTGGGTTATTCAAAGGTTGATAATGAATTGTTAGAACTACAAAACTGGAAGGATAAATCATTTGGTTCTTCATCTTGATTGCTTAAATACTGGTTTTAAGATTGATCACCTAGAAATCAGATCTTAGGTTGTTTAATGAAGGTGGAAACATTGTTAATCACCAGAACTATCTTAGATGAGCAAAATAACTAGTTGCAAAGGAATTTGGATTAGTGATTTTGTGAACATATCGAACCTGATCTATAATGCATGTTTAGATTGTTAGAATTTGCAAAGGAATTTGGAATTCTGGAATCTGATCATAGTTAATCTCTGCGACGGAAGTCGATTGGTTTTACATTAGTGTTTCGAGTTCTAGAACGGTTTTAATAAATATTCCTTTCAGTCCGTAATCTGCGATTTATGTCAACCAACGAATTTCCCATTACCTAGCATCTTGTCTTCTGATTTTAAGAACATACAATCCGCCCCTGATATCATTGCTTTCGTTTGTTACTTTATTTTCATTTTATCATTTATTGCTTAGCTTCATTTGAATCTAAAATCTTTTGAGTGATAGCCTTAGGTCCTTGTGGATTCGATCCCTAAGTACTACAGTGATCTCTTAATTTGAGAGAGTAGCTCTATGGATTAATTTGAGCATATCAAATTTTGGCGCCGTTGCCGGGGACTTAGATATTGCCTTCAGATTTTTAGTTTTAGAATTTTGACTACGCTTTTATTTTCTGTTTACTAACTTCTTTCACTTTTCTGTTGCCTGTTTCAGGTGCATGCATAATCGCAGTACCAGGAGCAACAAAGATAAATAACTTGTGACTTTAGGCATCGACGAACTCGCCAAGCTAGAGAGAACCATCAGAAAAGCCAAAAAGCAGTCTAAAATGGTTGGACCACTTGTTTTGAGGACAGATGCAGAGGGTCATTTAGTTGACAGAGAAGGGAACAGAAGGAATGAGGATGTGCAGAGGATAAATGACAATGGCGTTGTAATTGAGGAGCAGAATGTATAACAGCAAGCTGCTGGAGTTGCTGTTGGGCGTCATCCACAGAGGACTCTGGTAGATTACAACAGGCCAGATCAGTTCTATGCAAACAGAGCTGCAATCCGCCAACCTGCCTTTCAGAGGAATGACTTTGAGCTGAAACCCAGTTACTATCAGCTTGTAGGTCAACATCCTTTCTATGGGTTTCCACATGAACACCCAATGGACCACATTGAGAAGTTTGAAGACCTAGCCTCAAGTGTTAAAGCCAATGGAGTCACCAATGACTTCCTATTCTGCAAGCTTTTCCCTCATTCTTTGGAAGGAGATGCAGCACAT